TTCTCTTAAAACATATCCAGTGCATAAAATTCGAAAACATAAAGGTCAAAATAAGGCATTTATCATGCAGCAACAAAATCAGAATTTGGATTCTTAAAGAGTGAAGTTCAAAAAAAAATTGATTTTATCCGCACCAGCCTCTGCACAGGAGGCTGGTGAAAGCCTTTGCATCCAGCCTCCGCGTGCGGAGGTCCGCATTCGGAGGATGGCGGAGGCACACAGACCCACGCCAGCCTCCGCGTGCGGAGGATGACAAATTAACCCAGCCACATACACCGATATAGACACACACTCAATAAGCTCAATAAGCCAATAACCCATCCCACAATTTCCACACACGACTGCCCATACTACCTACAACTTCCACAGGCCACAGTCTCTTCTCCGTTCACCCCTCTCCGGCATCTACCTTCTACAACCATATCACCACCGCTGCCTGCTAGACATTCAACTATCTTCGTCGCCCAACAACAACCCGCTGCCTATCACCCATTTCGTTTCCCTTCGCTTCAACAATCACGCCCATCAATACCCGATCCTCCAATCAATACCTCTCGCCGCCGTACATTTATCACCTAAACTATCCAGCCAACCACCTCGCCACATCAACCACAGACCCTCATCTCTAAGCCTTCATCTTCTCCTACATGGCCAAACTCGATTCAAGTGTCTGATATCATTATTGATCAAAAGTCATAAAACCCACTTCAAAAATCAAAGATTCTAGAAACCCAATACACAAGATCAAATTCGAAAACAAAAAGGTCAAAAAAAGACATTTATCATGCAACAACAAAATCAGAATCTAGATTCTTGAAGAGTGAAGTTTTAAAAAAAATTGATTTTATCCGCACCAGCCTCCGCATCCAGGCTCCGCGTGCTGAGGTTCCAACCTCCTCACTCGGAGGCTGGTGGAGGCATACGGACCCACCCTAGCCTCTGCGTGCGAAGGTTGGAACCTCCACACGCGAAGGCTGGTATAGTAGATGAGTTGTTTTGGAGGGCTTCATTGGTGCCTCAAAAGGAGTTCCTATTTAGTAGATTACCACGGGTGGCATTCATGTGTTTTATCAGAGGGCCATTGAGAAAAGATTCGTACCTTTAATTAATGCAATAATTTTAGTTTTAAAAAAGATGGCCGAAGAAAGAAATTGAATCTTACCTTGATAAATATCACAGCAAAATTAAGCTTAAATTTTCAGTGTAAATAAACTTCAACACATCGGTTACACCGAATCCTCAACTCCATGAAACGCTGGCGTTTGATGTTAACCACCTCGGTTCCATCAATTGCCTTGCAATTCTCAGATCGGCCCCCACCCGTGAAATAAATCCCACATTATAAACTATTCACAAAGGCAACAGACTCTGCGTGAGGAAAAATGGTTCCTCCGCGTGCGAAGGCACGCCAAAAATACAACATTCGCCTACCTAAAAAAAATCTTCAGATTCACAAATCAAAAATTGGAACCAAAAAGGCCATGAATATGGAAGTCTCCGGAATGGTGACAGTTCTAAAGCCCAAAAAAAAATTCTATATTTTCTTTCCGACATTTTCTCAGCTACCAAACGTCCATCAAGAAAAGATTCGCACCTTTAATTAATGCAGTAATTTTAGCTTTAAAAAAAAGGCCGAAGAAAAAAA